AACATGATTTGCATATATTGAAATTAATAAAAATCATTGTCATGGAAGATATGCGGCCAGGAAGACATTGTAATCATGAAAGTACGCGGAAACCGGCGCAGCTTGTTCCTTCCACCTCTTTCATACTAATTAAAATATGAGCGGAAACGGACTGAATTACGATGCGCAATTGTCGATAGAATGGATGCAACGGTGTCGTCCTCTTTTCATGCTTTTTATTATTGCATATGCGCTGTTTGTAATGAATGTGCCGCGAATTTGGAAAGGAAGAAGAAGCCGAGTCTTAGCAATGATCATTTTTTATTGGAACGCCTTCAATGCCTTGGCGGATATTATCCTTCTTCTTGGCTTATTACCCGATTTCTTAACTTCTTTCCATGAAGGCTTCTACTCAAGTTTGTGTCTGAATGCTGGACTTTATAAGAACCCAAGGTCGGGCAAGGCAATACTCACATTTCACATCAGCAAAGTCTGGGAACTACTGGATACAGTACTCATCATTTTGGATGGACGTAAAACGAATCGTCTTCACGTGGCCCATCATATCGTCATCTCCACCTTGATGATTTACAGTTACCAGCACATTGGCGCCATGGCTCGTTGGATTGCCATCACCAATCTTGCTGCTCATGCTGCGCTTTACTTTTATCTGGCAGCTCAAAGTTGTGTCTGGAAACGTCGCACATGCAGCGCACGTGTAATCAGCGTGATCCAAATGGCACAATTCCCCATCTGCTTGTTTGGCCTCATCAAAATACGTCAATTTCTGAATGCCAAAAAGAAATGTGAGACAAACTACAATGGTGTAAGCATTCTAATCTACTCATCCTTTTTCCTTCTCTTCATTCGATTTTACATCAACAAATACGGAAAAGATTGCACCAGCAGAGAAGTCTTCAAAAGCGATTTAAAAGGTTCAGCAAACTTTTCATCTATTCTATCACATTCCTTTAATCTGCTCAGTGAAAGGCGGGGATGGCCAAAGTACGGAAACGTTTAAATCCCTGCGAGGATTGCCTTCTCACTCTTCCTACTTTCTGCCAATGACACTCCCGTCATTTGATTTGTCTCACCTTACCATCAGTGGACAAAGTAATTTACATGGCAATACAGCTTGGAAAGATCTGAGCGTCACAAACTTCCTCACATCTAAATTTCTCGCATTGATATGACGGCAAAAATGGAAAGTTGAATTTTGGGAAAAGATCGCTTGGAGTTAATTCTTAATCCATTTACTCATAGTATGTAAAAAGATGGAAACGCGGAAGGAAAGGCGTAAATGTCGTGCGTCATTGCAGGTACGCAAACATATCAAATATCACGTAAAGCTCCTTGTCAGTGTTCTGTGATCGCCGGAAAAGTAAGTCTTCGAAGCCTTAAATCGTATATTTGAATGGCACGATAGTGTTGTCACACACATATACACACACACGCGGATATCAAAGTGGGACGTTTTCCTTCCTCTCACATCGATTGTTTGTAACTTGACGTGAAGCATTACGGAAATCCCTCCACATTCTTTCTTCTTGAAAACCAAATCAATTAATCATTATTGATAAGAATGTTCAAAATCTGTTTATCCCGCTTTTGTACTTATAATGCCATTTATTTACAAAGAGAAATAAATCGATATTTCCAGAGACTTTCTCGAGGTTTTATTTTTTCTGATACCAAAATGCCAGAAGGCCCCTAGCAATCAACTGGATAACATCTACTTTTAATAATGCTCCGTACAGTTTCTTAAATCCTTGCAGTTGTCTGTCAAAATTGAAGCCAAACTGCATCTAACTATTTAGTGTAATGATTTATAAAAGAAATCTTCTTTGTAAGCCAACGAAATTTTCCGGGTGAAGAAAGAATTGAAATCTTTTACTGAAATAATTTTATTTGTGGTGACCATGACGGAATGAGATGTCATACAATCGATTCTAAACAAATGTCTTTTGATGGCGTAAGAACGAAAGAGCAAAGTAATGAAAGGTTAGTAAATGGAATTTCATCAATACTCAATTGTTTTACGTATCTGCAGTTTTACCATAATGAAATTGGAAAGTAAAATTAGAGAGCATCCAGACAAATTTAGATTTTGTGCAGATGAATTGTTCAACCTTGTCTTACTTTACCTATTGATTGCGCTAACTTGAACAGAGCCTCTCACTACATGTAGAGTGATGGATTTCATTTTAAAAGATCTATAAAACTTTCAATATGATTTCTTGCAATCAGTCTTTTGAAATTGCACAAACTGTCAGCCCCAAGAGATATCCACCCCTGTTTCAAT